GAAAATAATATGGAGTTCAAGGATACATTACTGCTAAAAAGTAGCATATGTAAATCAATAGAAAGTTGATTGTAAAATGGAAAGTTAATTGCGAAATACATAAATTAATTCCACCAAAAACATGAAATGCAAATAATGACACCATTCAACTCAAATCCTAACTTGAGCATTGAGTAGAGTTCTAGAATACGACCCTTAGAGTCGTATTCCAGAACTCTACTCAATGCTCAAGTAAGGACTTGAGTATGATTTGAGTAGGATACTGGAAATCATACTCAAGTCCTTGCCATTAGGGTCGTATTTCCAGTGCTTGAAATCATACTCAAGTCCTGACTTGAGCATTGAGTAGAGTTCTGGAATACGACCCTTAAACATAGAAGTAAAGAGGTTGTATATTTATTTAATATTTATGTGCTTTGTGACGTAAGTCATTCGTCATTAAAATTTAAATTTACTTACAAACATCTTATTTGTTTAAATTGCATAGGTGTTTTATAAAACAACGAGTTACATTTAAAAATACCAAAATATTTTGGCTGATTGAGTACCTATTTACAATGACCGGAGGTGAGTATTACGCGAGACCGCTGCGCGCCGCGCCACTAAAATAGTAATTTTAATGTGGCTGAATACTGGCAACAGTTGCCATAGCACTCTGAATTTTTATCAGACAAAGAAATAAAATGAGATTTTTTTTCAATAGTGTTTTATTTTACTTTCAATGTAGTTTTTTCGCAAATGTATTAAAAAACGACGTTTGATACACGTGCGAATTTGTCATTTTCACTTGTCTAGAGTCTTAACACTCGCATCTGCCTCGGGTCAAGAATCCTCGAGACTCGTGAATAATGACTAACTTTCCGCACTTGTATCAAAAATAACTAATAAGCTATAATGCCAACCGAAACAGAAGAGAGCGGAGTCATAGATACTTCCCTCATCGGCTAGTCGCAATCAAAAATTTCTCGTAATTGAAAACAGCATGTTGGTTTTTTTTTTACCCTTTGGAATGATGTTCCTTTATTTTTATTCCATCCTCTAAGGTTATAATCTTAGACTTTCCATCCTCTAAGGATATATGAGCTTGCTAGGCCACTAGCGGGGAAAGTGTTTGGCCGTTAATCTAAAAAGTTTGAGTATCTGTCTAAACGTTTTCTTTAGCAGAGAGCGTATAATAGTGGGAAATACGGGCAAAGTATAATGTCTATTAATTTCTTTATTTTATTTTTATTTTTAAACATTCGTACGCCAATTTGAACATTATACAAAACTCGAATTGTATTTTGTCTAACACTAATGTCTAATTATACGTAACTTATTAATTTAATTGCGTAAGCTCAATTGTTTGGAGGTACCTACCAATTGGGTTGGGGTCAAATGGATTCTCGTAAGTGCCTAATTAGCCATTATACACGAAAAATTACCTGTATACAATGTAAAAAAATAAAATAATTATAATTATACAATTTCATTCTTCAGATAATAGCCCCAAATACAGTAGGTACAAAATTTATACCATCGAAAAAATATTTGTATGTAAACATACTTGTAGCAAGCTCTAAATTAGTTTTCTTCTAAAAATTAAGCGGTGAAGCGATCTTTCGATTTTCACCGAATGCTCAATGCATTTGCCAAGTTCTTGTTTGTAGGCTTGCTCGAAGATCGTTAGATTTTTTGATGATTATTGAGTAAGTAATTGGGTAATTAAATATTTTGTAACTTTAATCATCACATCTCATCCCAGCAGTGGTTGTTAACGGTCTCAGATGAGGCTTATAAGCCTCCTCTAATGTAGCCATTAATTAAAACAAATTGTTTCAATTATATAACAATACCTCCTTTGTCAGTTTGAAAATGTAGTACTTTACCTTACATTCAGTACCTTCTCTGGATAACACAAATTTCAATCTTTAGCCTTAATTGAAATTGAAAATAATTATGGTCGAAAAGTACCATTTCGAGAAAAAGGTGTACGACCTAAACTATCCCAGTGTTCCCTAAAAATCTTAATAATTTATAATAATAAAACGACTTTTTTGAGAAATATTTTTTAAATCTTAAATCATCATCATGTCATTACGCAAGTAAATGAATTAGGTAAAACCAAGTAAAACTAAAAAAAATGCCAACACTTTTTTCTTGTTTTTCCTTGGCTTTTCACGGTTAGCATTTCAGCCACTTACAGGGTGTTTTGACTTGTTTTTAGAACGGGGAAACTTATAATGTCATAGTCAACGATATCTTTGATCATAACAATGAAATTTGGAAACGGATTTTTTTATGTCCATCATCTATAGTGAAAAAAGGATCAGGCGAGGAACTACGAGATATGGCATCATGAATCAACAATAAGAACTATTATTTTTCGTTATTAGTTCGAGATTGTATCTTCACTATATCACGTATTCAAGTCTACATTTTAGAAGCCTTGGGGGATACTCAAGGAGTCTGAAAAGGGGATTAACTAAAAGAAGGTCACATTAAACGGGGCGCCAGTAACCTACAACCTTCTAGTCTGACTCAGCTGGTGAAGACATACTGGATGCAAAAGAAAGAAGTCTGGGATTACGAAATGTTTAGAGGATGTCCAACGCTCAACAAACCAGCTTTTACATATAAAATATAATTATAATCAAGTTGGAAATGAAACTATTTTCCGGATTTAAATCGCGTATATTTGTTTTTTCAAACAAACCGACGTTTCGGGCCCTTTACAGGTCTCATGGTCACGGCTGACTGAGGTGCTATAGTCTTCAACCAGTTATGTCTAATATTGATGCAAACCACCCTATTTTTTCACTATAGTTACAATAATTATTAATTAAATACCTTATTTTTAATTTTACAAAGAAAACATTCCAATTTACGCTATATTAAGTTTTACAAATTATTTTATTGAATGAATTTTTATTCAGTTCCAATTTATTATTAATTATTAATATAAATTAGAATAAACTAAAACTATTAATTAGTACTGCAGTCTTATGTCTGTTTGGGATTTTTCATTAGAGGAAATACTGGGTCCTAAACTGGTGGTACGGAGAAACCATCTTCCCTGTTGAAATTAGGATGTTCTTTAATTTCAATGGCCTCTCGCAGCATCCTGGCTAGATAACGAACTTATTTTGCAAGGACCTGGGGTTTGTCAAACTTCATTGAATGTGTAGGTTTATCCATGACATGCTCGCAGACTGCAGACTTGTTTACGCGACGGTGTTTGACATCAGCTATATGTTCTTTGACGCGGGTACAAATACTTCGTTTTGTTTGTCCAATATAAGAGAGACTCTCTCAGTCAAGCTTGTAAAGTATTGCATCCTGTAAGGGGATGTTACATTTCACGGGTCTCAGGAACTGAGAAATCTTCCTCAGGGGCTTGAAATAGGTCTTTATAGATGCACGCCTGAGGACTCTTCCGATCTTGTTTGTAACACCTCTCACGTAAGGTAAGATGACAGGGCTTCACTCGACTGTTGGTGGTTTCACACGGAGCCTGCGGCATTGGCGTGGTATCTTCAACTTATTCGCATGTAGGACTTGCTTTATATGCTGAAGTCATTTCCTATGTGTAACAATCGCGAAAACCTAAGAACTCGATATAATGAAGTTCTATTCAATTAGCAAGAAAAGCAGTTATTCTGCGCAGCGTATATACTATAAAAAAAAATATTAATGCAATAATATGCAAACCCGGCACTACGTTGTACTTAATTAAAACAGTCATCACTTGGTTTTTCTTTGTCTATAAGATTTGATAATACTAAAATATAAAATCCTTGCAACAAAGTTGAGCATTATTTTACTATATTTTTGATTCATTTTGTATATTTTTTTATTATTGAAGAAATGTTACCAAGGTTAACTATTATAAGGAACCTAGGAACTGTAACTTGGTAATGTATGTGTTACCCGTGGTAAATAAAGGCCAACAAGTAAATACACTTAATGTGTTAGGTTGTGTATTTTAACCCGGCGGATAAGTGCATTTACTCATAATTTGCATAAATCAAGTGTATGATTAATGCGCGTTATGCATATTTGACATAGAAAATAATATTATTTCTTAGTTGACTTTTTATGAAATTCTGTTTATTTTTCAAATTACGTCTGCGTTTATTGTAATTGAAGGCAGTTAACACGTTAACGTTAACGTTAACGAGCCTAAACACTTGAATGTAAGGTAGTTTAATAATGGACATAGTTCGTCCAGCACCGACCGTTTGTGCCCTATGTCGTTCTGATTTCTTTTGTTTTGCTTTGTCCTCTTTGTTGTGTTTGAATATTGTAACTAGTTACATATTTTTACTTTATTTATTATAGCTTATAGGTTATATATTAGGTTTTACTTGTAACCTGTAAATAAATAGCTAAAATAGTTAGATTAACAATACTAATTATTACATGGTTACTATACTGGACACCCACGAGTTCGATTCCCGAGCCGAGGGAAATATTTCTATGGCCTACATTTATTTATCTCCTGAGTTAAGGTGTAATTTGTGATTGTCTGTCTATGGGGTTTCCCTAGTGCGTATGAGTAAAAAAATATTTTTCTTGTAGACCTTTTCTTTCTTCCAACAGAGAACAAAGGCGGAAGCTGGAAAATAGCAATATACTGAGACTTTTTATGTATGGTGAATAGTCTATAGAAGTCCTATTTATTTATTTAACGTGAACGATAGTAATTGTACGTTCCGTTATATATATAATAATAATGTGCCAGACTAAACGGCCTGATCTCAAACTAGGAAATTCTCTGTACCATGAGTACCAGACCAACGGAATTTACTCTGGGACACTTCACAGAACACCCAGAGCTGAACAAATTTAGAAAAGTTTATTTCCTCAATGTTTTTCTACCGGGAATCGAACTAGGAACCTTCTCATCCGCCAGCAGTATAAACCGTTGGCCCACCGAGGCCACCCATTCTTTATAAAATGTATCTTTAATTTACTTAAGATCATCATTGTTTTCTTTCAAAATGTTCTTTCCGACTTACCTAATCTCTCCGGAGGGGGTAGATGAGGCGAGGCAGCGCACATGCTCTTCAGGTCCCTAACCCCTCTTTCTAGGTCATCAGGCCCTTCCCCCAACTCCTGCTTGATCATCTCCGCCTGCTTCGCTGAAGGTCCCTGAAGTAACGTCATGGCTTCACTACACCCGAAAATTTTTAAAATTAAAAATGCCTTGTTGGGATTTTGAGAATAAAAATTGTTATAAATTTAAATATTTATTACAAGTAAATTTTAGATACGTGCTCAAGCTAAGCGAGAACAAAACTGCGAGCCAGTTACAAGCTGCCTTTTATATAAACAGATCGTGATGGAAATTGTAAGGACAAATAGATGCCGTGCACACTGGCCAGTAGAAGAACCGCCCTCGCCTCCGCCGGTATTTGTTATAACTTTATTTTTTATGCTTGTTACGGGAAATTTTCATGTTAATCGTCTCTACCTAATTTTGGTGGCAATTTTTATTATTAAATAACATTTCCGGTTACCATACTCGAATATTAAGTAATCATGATAATTAATAAGTCCGTGAAAAGTAATTAAAACACTCCACTAGATTTACATAATTTTATTCAGCTGGGTAGCCAAAGTGTCATGACTGTATCCAGAATACCCTTTACTTAATTTATAATAGTAAAACGTTATTTATAATAATAAAATAACAAGTACTTACGCACAAAATTAATACAATATCTATATTTGACAATGATAACTGCAATATTTGAATAATATGAATATGAATATTCGAAATTGCCACCGAAATTAGGTCGAGTCTTCAAAAGTGACCCCACACTTGCTTAATATTACTAAGAAGTTACAAGGTGCATCAAAGACCCTTGTTCACTTGTAATTATTGTTTATGTGCGTATTATTTTTTAAATTTAGTTATTGATTTTAAGTTTATATTTACGTTGTTTTTGCAAGTGAATACATCACTAATAATTAATTGTACGGTAACATAAATTCTTCACCACATTTAATTTAACTGGAAGTGAAGCTATAAATTTAAAAAATTAAGGGTTTGAAAATAACAAATACAATGCGATTTAGATTCGAAAAAAATGTTTAATTTAATTTTGTTTTATTTTAAACAAAGTGAACATGATAAATGATACTTGTAGATGAAAGCTGACTTGTTAATATGGTGAGGATGCGTGCTTGACACTCACCGTAGTCATACTTTAAGCAAGTATCTAATTGGAGTGTTGATGACGATCGGCGTTTTTTAAACGCTGATGGTGCTGTTGTAAACAGTCCTTTACAATTACGTACGACTTGAGCGCGTATATATTTAGTACCAAACGTGTTGATTAATAATTATCAACATTTATAATAACACGTATACATATATGTTGCAAATAACGACGAGGTAATAAAAGTAAATAAAAAAACACTCGCGCAGATGGAATTATCTCCTATACCTACCAAATTCAAATCTAATTATTAAATTTAATGGAGTTAGTTTTTTGCAATGTTTTGTTGGAATTCCCAAATTACTTCAGGTAGACGAAACGTCTAAACTTGGTTTTAATATAGAGCAACTACTAACCTAGTTTTAAGAAGAGGATACTCACGAAACGAAAAAACACCAAAGCACTTAATTATGTTTACCTCCCACACTACCTTAAATCAGCTGTTCCTAAATTCGTAAGTCATGAGTCCAAAATGCACGTTTGGTTACCAAAATAGGCTGTCCAAACGAAGTTGATCTTAATGAGTAATAGTAAGACCTCTAAATCTGTCGCATATCGTAGAGACACACAATGTTCCTGGTGTTTTTTTAAACTTTTTTTTTTTAATTTATGTTTTAAATGGTGGACGAAAACACAGCTGCGCGTTTGAGACACCGTGTGACTCTAAAACGCTACAATACCAATATCACCCGTGACGAGTCAAAGTGTTATTGTGCCTGTTTCTTACGTGTAAACTAGTTGTTGTTTTTTCCATTCTTTCCGTAAAGGAAAAGGCAAAAATTTGACACCATACAGCCAAATCTTGGTAAATTTTTCTTATTTATTTACTATGACAATGCCCTTAGATATATGAAAAAGATCTATGACATTGCTATCACATCAATGTGCATCAATACTCGTGCTTTTATTTTTTTCTATCCTCGAAGTGCTACAACTTGGCATTGTTGGGAAGACCTAAGTGATGTGTGGTTCCTTGTCATAAATAATATGAGCCTACACATTACCATAAATAAAATAAAAGCACTTTGGACGTATGATTACGTGTGGCTTTATTAGACCAAAGTTACTCAGCTTTTTTTTAGCTAACCTGTGGTCGATAACCGAAATTCGTTCTGAGCGTCTGTTTACATCAAACTTTACACAAGGTAAATAAAGAAAACCAACAAAATATATTTACTTTTCAAATCTAAGTATATTTATTGGTACATTTAGTATATATAAAGAAGCATTTCAAAAGTGCTATGTATAATGTGAAATGTTATAACTCTCCTATTTAAGTATAAAAAGTTATACACGAATTTCTTTCTTAGAATCTTTAAACCTCACCTGAAAGTTGTGATTTTGCAGATGTTGCCACAAGTGCAATTTTTACAATGTTACATGTGATATGTCTTGCAAACTAGAATGCTAATGCTTAAATTCGCTTCAAAATGTTGGAATAATATTCTACCACTTATACGTGACGAGTCTTCCAAACAAATTCAAAACACTTTACCGGCAACACCTACTCTCGTTACAAAAAACTGTCTAATTTGTTGAAATTTTAATATTAATATTGGTTTTCATATCCCCATGTACTCTTCTTCGTAGCCTTTCTAAATATGCATTTTTATCGAGTTTTTAGGTTTTCGCGATTGTTACACATAGGAAATGACACTATGTTTCCGGATTTAAATCGCTATCTAAGGGCGTATCTCTGAGATACAAAAGGGCTTTTAGTTTTTTTTATACCATTCCATAGCTATAATAATTTCGCATCTAATGGTATAATAGAAATAGCGCTATCTAACTTAAAACATTTAAAAAACCACTAAGAAATATTTTTAAATAAAATACAATTACATAAAATGCAATTTACAAAAAGTCGATTTTCCCAAAACTTACTCAGATTGAGATAGCGCTTTTCGGCTTATCAGGGTAGTGTTAGCGGATTACATCAATAATTATAATAAATACAATTGTTTATTGAATAACTTATTGTACAAATGAATAACTAAAGACTGCGAATAAATGTAAAATATAACATATATACCTGAAGTAGGAGACTCCTGTATTTCAGGTAAAAAGTACTAATTATACAGGTATGTGATTAAATTATAAACAAAAAAAATAACGAAACAATAAAATGCATATCATATACCTATACGCGAATTATATATATATTAGACAACATTTATTTTGGGATAATTAAGAATTCTCTGTATCATCGGAAACATATTTTGAAGGAATTCTTGGAGAATTTTCTTAACCTTTATGTAACAAAAATGATATATGGCTAATTTGGCGTTTAATTTATTATACAAAAATGGCCCAAGAATCACAAAAAATCTGGAAATAAACAAATGTTTTGATGATACATTTTTTTTTTCTTTCAATAACAAAATTCATTAATCCCTACACGGAACACTTTGTGTTCACAATTTCGTTTATCAAGTTCCACACTATTCGTAAATTACGATGGGCAATGGTCCATTGTAATTTACTAACAGGACCAATGCACACTTACGCACGTTAAGGGCCATTGTACGTGAACTAATTGGCCTAACTTAAAAAAAATTGAACTGTCTAACCAGCCCACCTTCCGCCAGAAGAGCGTTAGCTGGTTCAGGGTAGGCATTGCTGCTAAGAGAGACCTTGGTGTACCTACCAAGAGTTTGATGTTTAATGTCGTCTATAGTGGTGTATTCCTGGAGAACATGTGCGTTCCAACCGCAAAATTTTCAGATTTTGTTAAAAAAGGTTATGATTTTATCTATCATTGAATAAATGCCCGTTCTTGAGTTCTAGTGTAGATCTAAAAAAAATATCATATTAATCTATTTAATAATAACGCATAAAAGTATAATAATAATAACGCACATACTCTACATAATAATAATAACGCACATACTAGGGAAACCCTGCGTCTCTGGTGCCATGGACACACATACAGACAACCACAAGTTACAACCAGACTCACGGGAGAAATAAATGTAGTCCATACAAATATTTCTCCCGGCCCGGGAATCGAGCTCTACCTCTACGTGGCAGATGGTAACCGTTCGGCCACAGAGGCAGTTTAAATAATTTATTCCTAACGTTAAATAAAAAAGTAACCAATTTACACCTGACAAGCAATCCCATCTGTCTCAACAACGTTGTTGAGACAGATGGGATTGCTTGTCAGGTTCAACAGACGGAGATAGGGACGATTGAAAAGGCATCGGCGAGATTTAGAGATAGCCCCTTCCTTTATTAACTTTGGGTAACCTAAAACAAATGCATTCATATACGTCTACATGCGCGTGTGTGTATTCGTATGTGAGCGAGAGCTCACGTGTATGCTTGAGTAACTTCGTGCTAGGTATAACAGGGTATGCGCGCGAAAATATTTGGTGTGTTAAATGTGTCCATGCTAGTTAGTGTTGATTGATAAACATGTCGTAGTGACGACCGGTCATACAAAAGCATCATCAATCGCGCAAGGCGCGCTGGCTCACACTGATCGGCGCGGTATTTATGTGCGCGCTCTCCGCCAGTCTCGCTGAATCGCCGCGATGTTTCCAGGCCAGCGTCACCGCTGCGCGGGCGGCGCTGCTGTCGCGGCGTTGTTGCCTCGGTTGTTTGACCGACTAGTTAGGCTTGATTCGTATCACCGAGACGCAACGCAACGCGATGTGACGCGGCGCGAAGCTACATTCTAGCGTGCAGTGCAAAATTAACTTTATCCTCTACAAAATAAGGCAACATTTCATTTAACAAAAACATGAAAACGGGCTGCAGCAAGCGGCCACGGGCTGCAGCCAGCTGCGACAGGCGCACGTTAGTAAATGCAATGTACTATAGAACATATTCCCTATTAATTAAAGTACACATTTCTTCAAACAACAAAAAACAAAAGGGTAAAGCCGCGCAGCGTAGCGCTGTCCGACTCCGCCCACTTGTCTCGCCTCTGACAATACA